AAATAAAATACTAGAGATAAAATTAGGTGATACTGATTTAAAATTCAATTTAACAAATTGCAAAGTCAATAAAGATTCCTATGCAAGTGAGTTTTTACAATGGGACACACTTGATATTTACAGGGCTTTTACACGTTTCATACTAAACTAAAAACTGACTCCAAAAGGTAATGATCATGAAATAATAGTTACAATAACCTCTCCAGCGTGACATGAATAGACATTTTATGACTCTTCTAATACATTTTATTATTTTTGATATGTGAACATTTTAAAATAGAAAACGTTAAATGTCAGTTATATAAGGGCACAGACATCTTCAAATATAGCAATGAAATAGATGAAAAAAATCAAATCATATAACCATAGATAACCAGATGATTTTACAATGTATATACAAGTTTAAGAGAAATTTTCAGAGGTAAATTACATTTTCATGCTTTACAACTATCAAGTCATAGATTGTGTTACCACAACTATTTCATTGCTACTCTGCTACTTCGAAGCTGTGTCCCCAACACTATGTACCCTTGTACATTAAATTACAGACACATGAACAGAGAGCAGATCACATTAAAAGTAGTTTCTCAATCAATTTTTAATTGCACATATATTAAAATAAATGATCATTCCATCTAGCTTTAAAAATGCTTTCCATGATTTTAAGAGTAACACATCTAATAATTCATCTAATCATTAGAAGACCATTACAACCACTCTGAGAATATGCATAGTTAGATAAAAGAAGCAGTTATATATTTTGCCAGCCTTGATGTGTTTATGCCAAATTCATCCCATTTATTTGCATAGTTTCTTATTTTTTCAGAAAGTAAAATGTATAATAAAAGTTCTCTGGAATATTAATTTAATGACATATTTTTAACATTATGCAGTATGATTTATAATATAATTCTTCAGAAATTAATCATCTATACAAATAAATAGTGGGATATTAATCTGTATCACTAAAAATTAGCATATTGGTAATTAATCTAGTCTGCTAAGACAAGCACTGGATAGAAAAATGCATTCTCAACTTTTCTTTTCCCTCATTTCTCTCATCATTAATTTGGGCATCATAGTGCATCACATTTATTTCTAGTATAAATTCATAACTATTTATGTACTAAAAATCAATATAGATTTTAGTATAAATTTAAATTCAATTAAGTACTTATGTAACATCAAATCAGTGCCAGACAATTCACTGTAGATTACTTCACAAATTATTGTAGGGTGAAGATTTTAAATCAAAATTTCTAATAGACTTTCAAATGAACTAAGAAATACTATCTACAAATACAAAATAGTACACAGAACAGTTGTCAACTAACATATATAATCGTCTGTTTTAACAACAGAACAAATAAATGAGTACCCTTTATTAATGAGTCACTTTCCTCTTGTTTTTCTATTTTTAG